CCCCCCCCCCCCCCCCCCCCCCCCCCCGCGATGCTTTCATTTCTCACCCTCGGCCGAAACGACAACATTCGATGGCGGCGTTGTTTACGCCCTCGTCACGAACGAACAAACCAGGTGGCTTCGAAGGCGATGGCGGTGGGGCGGTTGTTCTCTCTCCAGTACGACGCCTCGACGGCGTTCCTCCTGGCCACCGCAGGCAGCAAGGGTCACGTGGCTCTCTGGCACTCAGACGAGGACGAGGCAATCTCGGCCAGGTATGTAGATGTACCCCGGGTGGTCGGTGTGTTGTATGTCGCATTGGTGTGATGGGTGTGGTACGGTTGATGCCGAGTGACGATGCGATCTCAGCCAGGTGTATACCATGTGGTATGACATGGTATTGTGGTGTGGCGATATGATCTCTCAGGCAGACGTACCGTGCGGTGTGGCGTATGGTTTGGTTCGGTGTGGTATATGATGTGATGGGTGTAAGCTCGGGTGATGTTGTGTATACGCTATTACCCGGTGGTTTGTCTCTGAGTTTTGAATGTGATGCGACACGGCGGTGTGTGGTTTGGCATCTACCGAGTCCTCCGTGAGCTTTTGACCTCTCGAGGAGGGAAGACCGCCGAATATGATGGGCATGGCACGGGACCTCTTGCGGTAGTCCCTAGCCAAGAGTTTTCTTCCAGGCGCTTTTCTATCGTTAGTCCTTGGCCCCTGTCTCCCAGCGTGGATTCGTCGTGTGTTTTGAAAATCGGTCACAAGACACCGCTGTACCGAACTGGGGTGGAAAAATGTGCATGGTTTAAGAACCTGTCACGTGGGGGGGCACTGGGGCTAAACAGACTCGTGACGTGAATGAATCAACTCTGGCTCAAAATAATCCCAGCAATGATTTCCGTCCCATGTATTGATAAACCGATGAGCAGGTTTTCCGGCAGAGTGGTGAGCGAAGGTGCGGCAGGGTCGGGTTCACCAGCGGCAGCAAGTCCAGCGGCAGGGGCAGCGCCGACGGCAGCACCGGCAGAGGGAGGTGCCCTCGGAGGCTTTTTGGCAGGGGCCGGGGCCGGGGAGTTGCAGGAGGGGTTGGGGGAACCGGGCGCGGCGGGGATCGGGGGCGGTGGCGGTGGTGCGGCAGGAGGAGCGGAAGGGGCGGGAGACGCGAAGAAAAAGAAGAAGAAAAAGAAGAGCAAGAAGAAATGATTCTGCTGCTGCTGCTGCTGCCCTTGGAGAAGAAAGGAAGAAATGAGTGATGTTTGAAGCTGCCGCTTGCCCTTGAGGGGAAGGGAGGGAGAGCGCCGCACACCTGCCGTTTCTCCTGGTTGGCCGGGGTGTGAATGACTCTCACACGCGGGTGGGGATAGGTTGCATACCGCATGGTGCACCGCGGCTGTGGAATGTCTTGTCTCCTGTTCTTCTTCGCGGCTCCTCTTGTAACATTTGTGGTGGCGTGACCGTCCTTGATGTGGTGCACGCAGAGCAGGCTGTAGCGTCGGCGAATCGAGATACAACAGTAAAACGTTCGGAGAGAGGGTGGGATGACTGACGTAGCGAGGCATGATGATGCTTGTTCGCACAAGAGAGGCCGGCGGCGACGCGCACATTCTATTTTGTTGTGAACGTCTTCGCTTGCGAAGGCCAGGTTTGTGTGCGGACGTGTGCAGTCTATACGCTCCGTTTTTTCTTCGTCGGGTTCTTCTGTCTTTGCCCTTTTCTTCACGCTTCTCTTTCTCTCTCTTCCTCTCTCTTCCTGTACTAGACAGTGCCAACAGTCGGTTGTCCCCATTGATCACCACGCATCAGGAAAGACGGGGCAAATGTAGTTGATAGCCGATGCACCGCAACCAGTTAGTTTTCTGCATATCGCAAGGTACGTACGGTGGAGTGGTTGATTCTGGAAGGGAAGAAAAGTACCGACACATGAATGGCGCAGTCGGATACATAAATCCTCTCGTCAGCAATTTCTTGTGCTTTGGGCAATTGAGTCTGTAGCAAGAGGTTTTGTGACTCCCTCCTTCGAAGCCCGGCTTCCTAACAAACGGCATTGGGAGCGTCGACGCTGGGGCGTGATATGTTGAGCAACACAAATACGCGGTTTGACGGATCAATGGAAGTATGGAAGGAAGGGGAAGAGAGCGCTGAACTCACAGACGTTCGGAACCTCTTTTTTATTCTTTTCGCACTCACAGAGCTGCTTCGCTTTTGAGAGAGTTCACGATCGAACGAGAGACCTCGCACCAGTGCATGTCTGAGGCCGTTCCAGCGCACGTTGGTTCATAAAGTCATACATACCCTCGTTCGCGTTCTTTCATCAAAGTGGCATCGCAGCTTGCCGCGGTCGGGCAACCGCGCTGGTCCTCCGAGAGATCCTCGGTATATTTTTGAAGGTGGTGTACTGCTGTTGAGAGTACAGAACGAGATAGATGGAGATTCGCACGCAACCAATCAATCCCTGTATGCACTAAGACACACGGCGTCACACGCGACCCAAACACGGGGCACCTGCCTGTCCATACCGGCGCCAAGAAATACGGCAAGCCTTAGACTAATTGTTCCTCACGCACGCGATCATTTTGTCGGCGAAGAGCACGACTCTACTTTCGATGGAGACGAGGCGAGAAGCACCAGAGAACTACTTGGTACGTGTAGTAGCTGTGCGGCGTTTACACTGCCGAGCCACCTCTACAGTCGTTTTCAAAATAGTGAACAGCGCGTTTTCCCTCTCCTCGCAAAATCCCACAGCTTTTGTCCATCTTCCTATCTATCGTCTTCCCAGACAGGCAGGAGCCCTACATACGTGTGCTTACATCACGGCGGGCTGGCCTTGTGTTTTGTCTTGACCACTTCCTCGAGAAGGACTTGGGGGACGATCAAAGCACGCCCACGTTTTTTCATGCGACGGACATCATGCCGCTTGGAACGCTCACCCCCGGCAAAGCGGCGCACGTACCCTGGCCCGCGTACAACCCTCGAACCTACCCTTACAACAACAGAACGCAAGGAAGGCCGGCAAAAAATCGCAATGGTCACGACGGTGGGTGAAGAGAGAGCAGCAGCTGAACGCTGCTCTGCCGCCGCGGCAAGCACTGTTATCTCTGTCGCTGTGCGATGCCTGCCGCTTTGCACCCCCCCGGAACCTGCCGCCGCCACACCGCGGAGCCGGCACAGACTACCACAGCAGTAGTCTAGCACGACAGCCGGCGGAACGTTCGTCATGCCAAACTTGCCACACTACCCCCCCCCCCCCCCCC